GAAGCAGCTCTTAAACACAGAGGATCACAACCAGTTTCTCCACAGCTACCCCTCACTGTCAGCACTCAGTGAGTCTACACACTCATCCAGCATCAATATCCGTCCTCTGAGACACTTTGAGGATGTGACAGCAGCTGTGTCAGAGCTCAGAGATAAACTGCAGGACATTCTGAGAGAAACATGGACAAAAAGATTTTTGACAATGACTAAAATGGATGGTTTACTACCAGAACCACAACCACAGAACAGAGCTGAATTCTCAAAATATTCATGTGGAATCAGATTTGATCCAAACACAGCACAGACACGACTGTTACTATCAGACGGGAACAGGAAGGTGTCATGGATGGATGAATGTCTCTCTTATTCTAATCACCCAGATAGATTCAATTATTACTCTCAGGTTCTGAGCAGAGAGAGTCTGACAGGACACTGTTACTGGGAGGTGGAGTGGAAAGGAAAGATTTATGTAGCAGTCGCGTACAAGAATATCAGCAGAGCAGGAAAAGGGAATGAATGTAAATTTGGATGTAATGACAAATCTTGGGCATTATCCTGTTACCCAGGTGGTTCTAAGTTTGGTTACAACATGATTTGGACCAATAATTTAGGTTCTGTTTCCTCCAGGATAGGAGTGTACCTGGATCACTCAGCAGGTATTCTGTCCTTCTACAGCGTCTCTAAAACCATGACTCTCCTCCACAGAGTCCAGACCACATTCACTCAGCCGCTGCATGCTGGAGTTTGGATCGGGTACGATGGAGTCTCTGCAGAGTTCTGTAAACCCTAATAGAGAGAATGCACTAATTTTAATTCTCCAACTGTTTACTTACATCACTGTTGTTTTATGTCTAAACTGCATTAATCAATAATTGGAGATTGTTCTTTTTTTCTTCCTCTTCAAATTGGATTTTCTGGTTGTGTGTGTTAAAGTTTCAACACTGTATTTGAAAAGCTGATTAGCAGAAGAATGCTTTCTCTCTTTTGCATTTTGTTTCATTGGGAGCAAGGAGTGTGAACTCTGAACTTAAACGAGCCAGAACAGTTATTTTATTCTGTTCTTGTTTGAACACATTTTGTGGAGTCCTGACTCACATAGAAAACAAATATTTTTGTAACTGTGGAACTGAGAGTATTTTATGCCTTGATTATGTTGATTTTTGGGAGAAAATTTAAAATTAAGCTGTCATACTGCTTCTCTTACTTTTTTGGTGAAAACACACTAACCCCTACAGGAAGGTTGTGTTGATACGTGACGTAGGTTGATAATCGCTTCATTGGAGTTAGATATATTTCATTAATGTGTTAATAACTATAGATAAAACTAAAAATATATATATAAAGTATTAAATAATGTGCTGTAATAACAAATAACTTTCTTAAATGCTTTAGTGTTCTTTATAAATTTTGGAATTGAATTCTCACAACAGAATGACGTTAAAAGAATCAGAAATATATTTTTAGAGCTATTTTTCTGTTATTTAGCTTGGAAATTATGTGTTTTATTATTATCCTTCTTGTTACATCAAATAATAGCCTATAGAAGAAAATCCATGCTTCATCTTTATGAATAATTTTGTTGTCCCATAATTCAAATATTAAAAATACAAAAGTTAAAATTAAAAATACAAATATGATTAAATACATATAAATAAGATGGCAAATATTTAGCAACAATAATTGGTGTAGTTTTTTTTTTTTTTTAAATCATGTAATATTTGGCGGCTCTTATTGACTTTTTCTTAGCCGGACTCAAGGCCAAATGGCTCTTTGGATATGAAACGTTGCAGAGCTTTGTTCTAGCACATTGTGAGGTTTGAGATGACTATACTGAACCACTATCAATCCATAACAATACATATTACAGTAATGTTTTTTCCTCATCATAAATAAAATCAGCTACAGATTTAGTTTTTTTGTTGTTTTTTTTTTAACACAAACAAGGTGTAGATGTTTCTTCAGGGTCAGGAGAACCAAGAGCTCAGCACTGAATGAGAAAGAATCTGTTGCTGATCTTCCTTCTGGCTGTAGGTGGACAATATTGTTTAAAATGAATATACATCAAAAATTAAAGTGAAAAAAACAAAACACCAAGCCAGAAAAGTTCACAGATGTTTCCTTTAATCTGCTGTTAGTGGCACACATTAGATTTGGTGTTTGCAGCAGGAAGCAGATACAAGCAGCACAGAGAATCTAAACGTTGAGCTTCAGACTAATGTGTCCTGCGTTAACCTTCAGGAAGAAGGAGCATCTCTACATGTTTGTGCTTTCATCAGTGAGTGGTTCAGAGGTTTGCTTTTGTTCCTTACAGTGAAAAAAAGTGAGACTGATGCTTATAAAGCCCCTCAGCTTGTGAAAAGTCTCTGAGGACTTCATTTCTTTTTAATCAAACAGACTCCATCCTGTCAGCCATGAGTCACTAAACATCTAAACTAAACTGCTTACATCCGTCTTTAAGACCAACAAGACACCAACGCACGCTGTGGGTGAGATTTCACTGCTAACAATGGAAAGAAGAAGAAGAAAGAGGAGGAGATCATTTCTCTTGCAGCAGAGCCGGGATGTTGATGTTCCAGCCGATGGCCTGCCTGTCGAAGCCACAGGTGAACAGGTTGCAGGTGGAATTGTCCTCGCACCAGGCGGAGCAGCAAACCATCCGACGATGACCCTGAACAACAACAACCAGTCAGCAGATTTGACCCCACAGCAATCTACAGAGCCTTTCAATCCAAAATTCAACACAGATTTAATATTTTCCTGGACCTCCTGTAATCTCAGCTTTCATGATTGAGCTTGGACTTCCTGCATTTTAATTATGTCCAAATTTCCAGAGACAAGATTCTCAGAATGCCAAGTAGTTGGTAAGTCTTTCAAAAACTATTTATAAATAGTTTAGAACAAATAGTTTAGGGAATATGAGAGCGTATGAAGAAATTAAGACTTTTTTTTTTATTTTCCACACTTATCCAGCATTAGGAAATGATTAAAAGTTGTGGGGAAACGGCTGTTCCAACCGTTGCATTTCCGAATTCTCCCAAATGGTGCACGACTTTACACGAGTGAATAAAGTGAATGTGATTGGTCGTTTATCAAGTGGGCGGGATTGCTGTGGCGGAAGGTTCAGAAGCAAGTTTGATTGTAGCTCTTGTCTCGGAAGCATCTTGCTAACCAGTTAGCAACTTAGTGCTAGTAGGTTCTCAACTGGAAATTACATTGGGACCAAGTAGCACTAAATTGGTGACTTACAAACGTCACTGTCAAGGAACGCTATGGACAGCAGAAACATGCAGTTTTGTGTCGGAGGTCATGGATGAGTCTCCTCCGTCATCCATTTTTTATCTAGAGGAGGAAAGCGGGGACAAAGCTGTTGTGGAAAAAGACGCCAGAGGGGCAGAAGCTTGGTTTGGTGTAGAAGGCTTACAGCCGTACATGTTTGAGCCCTTGCCTCGCAACGCTGCCAGTTCTGTTAGCTCTACGCCTGGTGAAGTCACAGACATCCATCCCCGTGAACACTGGGACTGAACTCAATTGTAAAGCAATTATTCTTATTTCTTATTTCAAACATTGCGTATATTATCTTAGTCATATGAATCAAGAGTCTATGACCGAAAAAAATTGATTGACAGATGACCTTTGATATGTGATTGGCTGAATTTAGGTTTTCAGGCTGACATATAACTAACTGGCTGCATAAGATAAAAAAAACCCACAGATTTTAAGACTGGATTTTTTTGTTAAACAGAAACTTTCTAAATTTTGGGACAATATCATCTGATAAAGAGTACATTTATTAACATGTGCAAGCCAGAATGATTTGACATTTAAATATGATTTCCCTATGACTTTAAGACTTTTTCAACTGTTTTTACACTCTATCACCATGACGTAGATATTTATTTATAAGCTAATCAGAAGATTTTATTGAAGGGTCCCCCCACTGTTTCATCTTCTTCATATCTATTATCTGATGAACTGACCATCCAACCACAGTATTATGCTCCTGTTTCCATTTAACTGTTGTAGTGTTTTCATGTCCGTTCTGCTGACCAACCTGTCTGTTGCTCCGTGGGAGTCGAGCCAGTCGCACTCCGGACATGTCAAACAGTCGGACCTGCCGATTGTCGTGGGGAAGGGCGATAATTTTCTGGTTCACAGACACGCTGATCCTGATGAGAAACAGGAAGTAGAATGATAAAAAGCAATACATCCCCAGTAATTACAATAAAGGATTCCCGTTAACTGCAGCACTGGTGTGGAGAGCAAGTTTAAAGGAGCTGTTGATGTTTATAACAATTATTATTCAAGGCTCATTTGAAAACTAAAGGGTGGATCATTTTGCCCTGCTAAGCATAGTGCCTCCTGGTTCTGTGCTGCAGAGTATCAGCATGTTTGCAGCTCACCCACCTGTTGACAGCAGAGTCTGTGCGGATGGTTGCTATGGGCGACCTCATGTTCTTCAGGTCCCACACTTTGACGGTGCGGTCATCGCTGCCTGACACCACGTTATCTCCCACAGTGAAGACGGCAGACGTCACAGTGCTGCAGAGGACCAGGAAACAGGTTTGGTCAAACAGCTGGAGAAACAGCAACATTTTTGATAATTAAATATGCAGGATGGCATCTACAGATGTTTTTAAGATTCCTTTTGAAACCAGTTAATCTCACTATGAATAATGATAAATAATAATAAACAATTAGATGAGTAAAACAATGATTTGGTTTCTTCCAGTGGGAATGGGGTTTTTTTTGTTTTTTTTTCTCTGATTTTACTCCCACAAAACTTTTTTTTTTGTCTAAAAGAAGATATTAATTCAACTATAAGAAAAATGTAAAAATTTAGCTCACAGGATGGCGCTAGACACCTAAACATTTTACTTTTTACACAGGCTGATAACTGGAGTATGATATGAAGAACTGTCAAAAAACTAAGCTAGATAAAGTTAGATTAGATTTTTTTTAAAAGGAAGCAACATCCATCTGGCCTTGCAAAAGTATTTACACCCTTTAAACCTGTTTGAGATTCTTTCATTTTGGAATCACAAACTTCATTACATCGTATTTAGATTTCGTGTGATTCCCACAGAGCAGTGCCTTAATTTGTCACTAAGGAAAATTTAATTTTGATTAATTTTTTGTTTATCAATAAAAACAAAAACAGGTTTATGATTATAAATAATACAACATCATAAAAAAAGAGAAAAACAGGGACATTCCAAACAGGTTTATTCATCTACAGGCTGAAACTCTTTCCTGTTCTTTATTAGACAGCTCAGGATCCATCAGACTGGATGGAAAATGTCTAGGAAGGTTTGAACTTTATTGTTTTAGAACTGAACCGTTCAAACATTTGAACCATTATTATTGGCCATTTGGTTAGTCGATTATGCTTTGCTGAATCTTATTCTTCAAACAGATTTTCCTTCAGAGCCACCGTGGATTCTCCACCTGTTTCCAATCAGATTGCTTATGTCCGCTGTTCCCCAGAAAAGACTTTAAGCAACTTTAAATTGATTTTGCCTTCAACATTTGCTTTCTACTGACCATTCTTCCATAAAGGTCAAGTAAATAACAACAATAATACTAGTAATTAGGAACTACCTGTGAGGAATGTGTTGAACTGCATTTAATACCTGGGTATCAGGGTAAAGAGGGTTTGTTGCAAATACATGCTCCACTCTTTAAGCAGAGAACATTTTTTTTTTTTATTATTGACCTCTTTCTGTCGATCTGTCACATAAAAAAACAGGAAATACATTAAAGCTTATGATTGAGATATAAAATATTTAATCTAAAGTAATCATTGTAAAATTATTTCTTTTTTTCCCCCTCTGATATGTGATAGGTTTGTGTCAGACTGACTCTGTGTGTCCCTGGAAGACATTGACAGAGTGGATGGACGGGTCTCTGAAGTCCCACAGCCTAAAGGTGGTGTCCCTGGATGAGGTCACCACCAGGCGCTGGTTGGGGTGGGTGCAGCAGTGGGTCAGCTCTTGATCATGACCTAAACAAACACATTTATTTCAAAGCTTTAAACTAAACCCGACTGTAAGCTGAAACGTTTTCTGCTTCCTACCAGTGAGCGAGTGGACCAACTCTGAAGTTTCCACATCATAGAGGTTAGCAGCTCGGTCCCAGGAGGCCGTCACCACCTGTTTGCCTCCCACTAGCCAATCAGCAGCGATCACCACCCCCTGATGGCTGCGGAGCGTCGTGGTCGGTACGCGAACCGATGGGCAGTCGTTGGGTCCCTCAACCTCACCGTCTGCGTCGTCTTTATCTGAGAAGTCCACATCGTCTTCACAGGGCGTCTGCTGCAGTGGCAGGAAGGACAGGTGAGTGAATTCTGCTCCAGAAGCAGCAGGAAGCGTTCTGATACACAAACACAGATCAGGCTTACAGCGGTATCAGCAACAGGCTGGGGAGTAGGGAGCTGCACCATGTATCTCCAGATGTGCGCCGTCTGATCTCCAGAGGCTGCAGGGCAGAGACTGAGACTTTAATAACCGTTAAGATCATAAAAAAACTAAAAAATATTAAAGTAAACAACAAAATCTTCATGATACCAACATCTTTCAGCGTTTGTGTGACAGACTGTCCAGATTTAGGATTCAGATTTACAATTTGAATATAAAAAGCTTTTACATGCGGTAATCTTTCGTGCATCAAGACTCGTTCCAGTCTGAAGACACTGGCAGCAGATGCAGTAAATTTATGAGCAGGCAGCCATTGTATCTGCAGCTAAATCTAAGCTAAATATAAATAAGAAATACATCCTCTCTGCTTCAGACAGTGCAGTTTTGAATCAATAAGAGTTTAACAAATCTGGGTAAAATGAAAACATGTATAATGATTACTGAGCCATGGCACCAATATAGATCAATAGTTAGGGATAAATTCTCCAGTCAAGACTTTGTCATCAGTTCGAGGAATAAGCAGAGTAATAAAGTTATACCTGTTAGAGCCATCTGCTCAGTGGGGTGGAACTTAATGGAGTTAACTGCAGAAAAACAAAGATGCATTGTGTCAGATTAGACCAAAAATTTAAGATAGCTCATGTACTGTTTCTATACAGTCCAATACAGTTTAATATGGCTAGAACAACAAAAACCATGAACCAAACTTTCTAACTTCAGGTCTATTGAATCCTACCCGATCCTTGGTGGCCCAGGTATTTGAGGAGGCACTTCCCGGTCTCAATGCTCCACAGCATCGCAGTGTGGTCTGTTTAAATGAATAAAAGAAAATCAGACTGAATGGATTTGAAGAGAAAACACAAAGCATTTTTTAATTTTTTTTTTGTCAACTGACTGAGTGAAACTATAGATCCAGACTAGTTAGTAAAGATATTAAACATCCTAACACTTAATCACACAGTAAAACATTTAAAGATTTTCCAGGAAATTCTTTAAAAATAGTAATTATTAGTGCCAGTGCTTTTGTATATAGTTTGCCTAAGAGGATGAAATGTTCTCTTCTTTAATGATGTCCCATTAATCCAGACCAAAAAGAAGAATGCTTGAGTCTCTCTCTCTGTTTAATTCTGCTAACCATTGTGTATATGATGTACTTTTCCATCAATTCCTCCTTTGTTTCACACTAAGCTCACCTTGATTGTTTGTAGTTGAAAAGTTTAATCTTTATCTCATATGAGTAAATAATACAGTTAAAGTTGATGCACCAGTTAGAAAACATAAAAGGTTTGTGCAGGTAAAACAAGTCCTGAGCAAAGGAAGAATACAGGAATGTTATAGAAACCTGATGAAGAACCAATGCCCCTTATTGAGAGTTGTTGAGTTGTTTTCACCTCACTAAAGATTTACAGCCTAGAAGCCAGTGGCTGGCTGACATAGGTATCTGTGTCGAGTCATTTCGTGTTAAATTAAACTGGGCAATAAAATAAGTTCACAGATAATCTGAAAAACTGTATTTCGAATAAATTTGTTATTTTAGCTACGGTATTTTCTTTCAAACTACATAAACAAATTAAAGTTTCAATTACGCTACCAGAATAAAATCCTAATGTTGAGATCTCATAGAAGTTTTTACAGTAAGGGACAGAATATCGATCAAGGTTCTTATTTTGGTCATAAAGGAATATAAAAACAGCAGACTAGGCTTAAATATTGAAGTTCTGCTGAATAAAAGCAGAAATGGATGATAAAATAAACCCCAAACCAAATGAATAACTCAGGACGTACCAGCAGAGGCGGTACCCAGGACCACAGGCTGGGTCCTGGTGATGCTGAGGTCCCAGATGCCGTCCCTGTGGCCGACATACTCCTTGACCAGCTGGCAAACTGCTCTGGTTGTGGTCGCTTTGAAACTGGACACAATCTGACAGTGATGCCACACAGATGTTAGAAAAGAACAGAGAAAATCCAACAACAGGGTTCCTGAACACAGCCTCCTAAAATGGAATCAGCTGCTTTTCATTTTGTTTTGTCATGTTGGGAGCATAGAAAACATTTTCATCTTTCACTTTAATTACCATCTCTTTATTTAAATATTGATTTTAAAAGCTGTAAAACACAGTTTGATTTAATCTTGATTTGAATAATCCTCCAAAACCCTGCCTGCAGCTGACAGGGGCTCCGTTTCAACTAGAAGTCCTTCTCCTTTCTTCCAACTGTCCTCAGTGAAACGTGCTGAATATCCCACCTAAACAGACGTTCTAACCATGGGGGGCCCAGGCAGCGATGGCTTTTCATGCCCTGTATTTACAGGGAAGGGAGATACTCTGTGTACTATCTCCTAAACCCAGTTGCCCATGTAGGGACCATCAACCAATTCCGGTTGTTCAAAATACGTAAACAAAAAGCTTCTTAAAAAGTCAGCACACCAGATTATAAGATTCCATTTTATTAATCTCACATTTTAAATTAAAATTCCTATGGAAATCCTCTGCTATATATATATATATATATATATAGTTTCCAGTTCATGTAATCAAAATACTATGAGATCAATGCTGAATTGTGTTACTGTACAGCTATAATGAGACCAAACATTTTATATAATATTCAGATGTACATCAATAGGAAGTGAACTAAAGAAACACAATGTGTTATATTATTAAATATACAGCAGTCACTAATAATCATTCAGCTGTATTTATTTGCTCTAAAACAATTACTCATCTAAAGTCTCAGGGTTTGCTTAAGGTCAATTTACAAACTCGATAATTTATGCCCCCAATTGCACCTATTTCCATAGATTTCAAATATTAACAATACTATCTTAGTTGAGGGAAACAGCACTGTAATGAACATGGTGGTGGTAATGTTATAGTCTCTATGACAGCACACTGCATGAACGGCCCTCGCTGCCTGGAGCGAACATCTGCTGATTTAAGTCCAACTTTAACCTAATTTCACTGAAGGACAAAAACTGGACATTTGGAGTAGACATGTTTCCCCGTCCTGTGAGCTGCAGCAGGGACCTTCTTTCTCTGTCTTTAACTGATCCCATTTCATTTTTTCCAGAGCTGTGTAGGAATCTTGTTGTAAGGGAGGAAGCAGGAACTGGGGGTTGCTGAGGAGATGCTCTGCAGGGTCCTTGTAAGAGGCCAGGGCTAAGAAGCTTTGTTTCCATATTTACCATTAGCTTTTAAGGATAATTAACTAAAGTCAACAAAAGTAGCTTTAAATTCTCCAAACCTGATGCAGAAAACAAAAACCGTCTGCTTATAGCAAAATAAATATCAAATCAACATAAATGGGTTCCATTATTCTGTATCAGTAGATCAAAGCAAATTCAATCCAAAACAGCAAAAATAAAAGTATCTAAAGAGGGTGGAAGCTGGTGAAATAAGAAACCTGTTATCATTAATGGATCAGTTGAATCAAGGTTCGATTGCGGTGTTTACATTAAAGATGGGAATGATACAAACAGGAGTCCGGCTGCGTTTTGGACACAGACTGCTAAATAAGTTCAGACTGAAAGGAAAGAGGAGAAAAAAACATCATTCATCTAAAAAAAGAAAAAAAATGTATTCTTCCTGTATAACAGAGACAGGGTGGGAAAATATTTCTCTCCTCTGTACTCAAATAAAGAAATCCAGCGGATGGATAAGCTGCTGTTACCGGAGGAGACTGTTAGGGAGAAGAAGACTCCAAGAGCAGCAAACCGAGGGAATATAATGAGGCATAAATGCAAAAATGAATAAATTCATCTGTAGATGACGGTAATGAGCGAGATTTAATTCCAACTGAATACTGATGCAGGAGAATGCCGTTTAAAAAGCAGCAGCAGGGACTGAGGGAGTTTATGGCTTCAGGACTGCAGAGTAAAGCTTTAAAGCATGCAGCTGTTAATGTGCTACAGTTTAGAGCATTAATGTGTGCAGTCTGCTATGGCCAAAGATGGATTTAACTTATTTCCGATATTGCCATGATTAGACTATCAATCCAGATTACATCACAGCATAAAACAGACAAGCAGCACAGTGAGCAGAAAGCCCAACACAGAACTTCATGTCTGTCTGTCTACATTTAATACAAGGCTTAACAATTTCATTTTTGAAAAAGCTCATAGTTAGTAGGCCTCAGGTTATCCTGAGCTATCTCTATACTTATGCTGCTTTAGGCTTTGACTGCTGGATGACATAGGGACCCATTTTCATCACTCTCTTTTCTACCATTCTGCAGTAATTGTTATTTCAACCTCTAACTTTATGCTCTCTGCTTTTTTTATTATAATAGTAGCTTCATCTGGTCTAGCCTGAATTGAAAAGTCACCTGGGCTCCTCCAACACCTTTCTTTATAGATGTTGAAAAGTAGTCCTATTACTCTTATTGTGACTAACTGTATGTTGGGGCAGACTCCCAGGCAGCTAGCTTTAGCAAACGACACCCTAAACAGTTTGTGTCCAGGATGTGTGGGGTCTGAGAGACATTAGCTGATCTTTTCCTGCCACCTAGGGCTGTAAAAATCCAGGGTGGAGGATAGATTGCTCTGATCAACCTTTCCAAAGACCTGATTGTTTGTTGCAAACAGGCCTTACCTGTTCTGTGTTCTAGTAAATGTGACCTGACCGAGCAGACTGCACACTGCGCTTTGACTGATTCTCTGAATGCTCCTTTTGCTTAAATTTCCTACTTTGGGCATGAAAAGCATTTAAAAATAACAGCCGCTCCACACTAAAGATGTCTCCACAGTGTACCATTATGTGAATGCCAACAAGAAGCTAAATTAAAGTCAGGGAGTTGCAACTGAAAAAACAAGCCAGTTAGTGAGATAAGAGACGGTCAGGTTTTATCTCACGCCGAAGGGATAAAAGAAAAGCTCAAACTCCTACATTTGAATGACCAAGTCTCGAGGGGAGGAAATGTCGTCCCCCTGGCTGGGCTGTTCATGCATATTGGCACACAAGGGGGAGAAATGTGTAAGTTACCCATGAGTCTCCGCCCCACAACTCCCAACTGGGTACGTTGAAGTTGCGGGATCCGCCTACTACTCTGGCATGGCAAGAATTTGAACGCGGCTATGAGTAAAAAAAAGGTGAAAAAGACAGTAGTTCCACTGTTTAACATTCACACATCATTCATGTTTTACTGATGAGCACACAGGCGTCTTCTACTCATCTCTCTATGATAGTCAATTAATTATTTCCTTTCTTCCAAAAGACAATCAAGAACATGAAAAAGACGTTTTAAACCAAATTAAAATCATTTTCACCGGCGACAGCAAAATTGATACCTTGCTTGTAGAGGCCTTGTAGGTTGTTTTCAGCTTCTGAGACAGCTGACTGGTGCTGTGACTTGCTGTACATCAGAAACAGTTAAAGGTAACGATGAAGCAGTCAGTAGAGAGCAGAAACAGGTCAACAAATTTAAACTTAAGAAATTACAGTTTAAAACAGATGTTTACGTAACCAGTATAAAACACACATAAGCTCTTTTCTCAAAGCCTGATTTCTGCCTCTTTAACTACTGGAAATGTGTCCCTAGATCAAATATTCCTTTCCTCCTGTTGCATTAGACCCTCCTACATAAATAACCCACATTTAATAAACCTAGTGAAAAGACACTTCCATCTTAGTTTGAACCGACCGTTGGTACAGGGCTTATTTAACAGGATGAGGACTCATCAGGTCCAGCTTTTTTACCAGACTTTTCCCTTTTGCTCTAAAGCTGACAAGCACATTTGAACTAAATCAAAATTGCATAGACCCACTTTACAATGGTTAATAGACAGTATCTCATTGTCCCAGCATTTACCTAAAAGGACTAGCAGTGGGAAAAGAAAGATTATATTTCCTTTCATAAACTGACATAAACATCTGCTTTCAACATTTTGTTTAAAAAAAATGATTCACCTTTTGTTTTAAGAGCTCCTTTAGCTAAATCTGCTCCTTCCACTGTTTGTCCATCTGCAGCCAAACGATCATTCAGGGACTCGATTTCCCTGCGCACTGAAAATCAAACATGTCTTGTTACAGAATGCTTCAGTTTGACAACAGCAGAGGATTGTGCTACGTTCAGACTGCCAGCGCTCGAAGCAGCTTCCTTTTTTATGCTTGTACACATTAAGGTCTGACGCGCCTCAAGTGCATTTTTGATGCTCCTGAAGCACGTCCAGTAAAATGTGTCCAGATGCGTCTGCCGCTTCTGCTGCTGCTATGTTTAATGGCAGAGAGCGGCTTTGCTATATTTGCTGTGATTAGTGGGTAAAAAGTAGTTTAAATGTGTTTTTAAGTGAGAAAAAAAATCATCTGTGCAGTCAGTTCATCAAGCTTACGATCCTGCCTTCAAGCTGTCGGACCAGCACAAACCCCCATACACCCGCGATCCTGGGTGTCACTGGAAATCTCCTTCAATGGCAGCCTCTGGCCCGGTCGCCTCTTCGGGGTTTTCTGCTAATTTTCGCACATGGAAGGCAGAATAATCAAAGCAAAAATATTTTTCCGGCAGGTTTCAAATTTTTTAATTAATTTAGGCGTTAATAAACTGTTTCAGTGGAGTGATCATATTGCTCTGCATCATCAGTGCTGTGTCTGTCTCCCTGCCAGTTCCCAGATCAGCTTTTCTGATTGGTCGATGTGGCGCATCAAGCAGCAAAAGTTACATTTTTCCAACTCCAGCAGCTGCTGCTTGTGAAGCACGTCACACGGCTCAGATGCTCAGAAGCTCATGAGGCGCTGCTTCAGCTGCTCAGATGCGTCATGATGCATTAACATGCGCTGCTCCTGCTGCAAGCTGCTTCTGAAGCGTGCGGTCTGAATGTAGCATTATATGCTGGAAATGTTCATATTGGTATCAGAAGTGAAGAGAAGGAAGAGAGGAGCTGCTTTCTGGAAATCTGACAAAACCTTTAAGAAGTTTAGGGAGAAGATTATAAGGGCAGATATAAGCAGCAAACACAGGGTCCATCCAAATTTATCAAATAAGTAAAGACTCTTGAGTCAAATTAGAAGTGTTTCAGCAGTCGCCATAATAAGTTCTGTCTGAATAGTGCTGGCAGTGAGGAAGGAGGTAGGAGAAGGCAGGATGCTTCTACTGGACAGTTCGTTGAGCAGAGAGACCTCCGATTGTTCCTATCTGGTGCTTAGGATCTATATGGATTCCCACAATCCTTTGAGTGACGGGGCCGATATGCACAGCCCACCAAACAGAGTTTAACAAAAAAAACATTGTTTTTTTCATTTCTACTCTGTGTAAAACATGCATTCATATCATTTGGGTTTTATTATACAGAGCTTTAGCTGCTTGGAATTTATTTAACTTTTCTTTTTTGTAGCTCTTCTCCAGAAAGCTGTAGTGCTAATATGACTCTCATCATCCGTGTGCATAATGATGACTGGAAGGGAAAATAAATAAAAAACTTATGTCCGGTTACACATTAAACCTTCAAACTTGAACGCTGATTAGTTTGTGGCTGAAACATTATGGGTGTTTAAAATTTATTTTTTATATTTTCATCAGAATTTGACTTTTTGGGTGTTGCCTCGAAACTTTAAGAGCCAAAAAAATGGCAATAAAAAATAAAATTTATGAAGAATATTGAGGCAGGTTATGGTTTTGTGGAAAACTTACATTCAATGTTTTCCAAGTAGAGGTTTTCAAACTCTCTCTCGATCTGACTGAACAGGTCCAACAGATTGGTCCTCAGTGACAGAGGCAGTTTGGTGTCCTGCAAGATGAAGAAGAAGAGCAAATGTAAATGAGTGGTTTTATCACTTGGAAGATCGCTGAAGAAGGTATGATATACAGAGAGTTTCAACATCAATCATTTAAGAGAGAAGTAGACCCCGAAAAGCTGGTTAAAATGGCACCAGAGAGCAGTTTGCTTCGAAATTTCATACATGTCAAAGAAATCTGCAAAGAATGAAACAAACATTTAGGCTGTCATGTTCAGCAGAGAGAAAATGGATCCAAGAGGAAATAATGTAAAAGCAAAAGAAAACCTCTTATCCCTGTTAGGAAGGAAGGAAATAAAAGCGAGGCCTAACTCCAGTACATTTACAGCACAGACAGGATGTGTTCCCACAGATCCAACAATCAAGCTTAGACTTGTTAATATTATACAACCAATATGAGCTCATGATACCAAAATTATTTATATCTGATATAAAAGTAACTCACTGGCAGTTTCTACCACTATCCAATTACATATATACATATATATATTTAACCTCTTTTTTGTATTTACTATAAAAGATTGATTTCTTTTAAATCTGGAATGCTAATTCCAACATTATGTGCAGGCTGAGGTTCAGATTCAGTAGTAATGCTAAAGGTCAGCTTCCGTAGATATGGTTGGGAGGCAGTGAGCCCACCTCTTTGTTTCAGAAGGAGAAGCAGAACTGATGCTAACTGGAACGCTTTTAAAAGAAATCCAGTCAATCTGCCGACTGTGGCCAGACTGACACTGATAGCACTGAGCAGAAATGAAAGGATAGGAAGCAGTAGAGGAATTTGAATCTGAGACAAGAAGAGTGAGAAATATTGAACAGTGGAAAGAAATGTTGAGTCTTTGTTTTCTCTATTCATTAAATTAGATTAACAAACCGTGATCATCTTGAAAACAGGCAATCAATTCCCTATGTTAAATTTACATACTTAGGACTGGACAATAATGATTATTGATCAAAAAGGAAAGACAAAAAAAAGAAGGATTATTGATTCATATTGATATCATTGAAGACATTTTAAAAAAAGAAGGTGAAAACATTTTTATTATGTTTGTATAAAACCACTAATGTCAAAATGATAAAAAAGCGTATAAAAAACCGTGAATTAGCACGACATATTTAAATCAGATATTTGTATGAAACTACGAAAGAAAACTCATTTTCAAAAAGAAATTGAAATTACATACAGCCTTATGCAATCCATATTGCTACTGGTATGTAATAATTATTGCCTTATGGGGCGATAACTCAGAACTCCATGTTGAGTTCAGTGGCTGGCTCTGTTGTGTTACAAAAGGCACTTGATTTATGATGTCTGAATGTTTTCTTCAAGCATTTTCTCCTCTCCTATTCTGCAGACCGAACACAGTATTAGCTTCATTTGTCATTCCAGAATCGTTCACCTGGTGTCGCTGTGTGTGCATCAGGTCATGTTAGTTCCTTAATGATATTGGTGACTGACTGGTGTGTATTTTGCTTCATAAACACCTCCAATCCCCCACCCAAAACAACACCTAAAAAATAACAGACGGATATTTATTGTGGGATAGCTAAAGGCAAACAGAGTATCTTGAGAAAAAGTCACAGAGAAAAAAAAAATAATTTGAAGTTTCTCCTACATTCTGTTATTCTGCTGTCTTTCCCTCTTCTGGTTAACATAAATCTGTTGTTTTCAACAGATCCTAACTCTACAGACTTCACAGAACTGAAAAAGAAGGTGCATCAAATACAAAAAAAATCATCAGACAGATTTTTTTCAGATCCACAACACCTACTCCGAGCTCTAACACAACCTATGTCCGCTCTGAAAGCTATGAGGGGTTCTGTTCTACTGTCTGAAACATGGAAGCAGCTAAAACTTACCTCCATTCTCATGAAGGAGTCCAGATTATCAGAGGACTGAAACCAAAGGGACCAGAGTGAAAAAATAAGGTCATGAGGAAAGGATTAAAACATGTCTGACCAGAAACAGAGCTGAGAACCTGTATGTTCTCTGACATTAGGATCAACTTTTTTACTTTTCCAATAAAAAATGCTTTTCTGGCCCATAAGAAAAATCCCATTAAGAATAAAATATTTTTTATGTATTTAAATGTTTAAAGAAAATGCATTCATATATTACTTATCAAGAGCCAGAAACAAATTAGGTAACTACGGTAAAAGAAAAAACTGAAAGACTTGTATAGCCTAGCTAAAATCCTGGTATCTCAATAAGTTTAGCTTTTATTAAAAACAAGGGGGGAAAAAACAAGTAAAAGAACAAAAAAAACAGTGTCTCAGTCCCTCAGACTAAAAAAATGTAAAGGACACTCATCCTGATTGTTGTTCTGATAATATGTCTTGGGTTTCGGTCCAAGGCAGCATTTATTAGTTAGTTGATGTAGAAAAGTAACACATGAAAAATGTACTGAAACTGTTAAATAGACAGTGGGAGATTTTCTATGGGAAATTTAGGGCAATGATCCAAAAATAAACCAAATAAAGTCCAAAATGCAGATGAATTTCAGCTCATCTCTGTACTCAGCTTTACTTGAGAATACATCGTATGAGGTGGCATTAGTCTAACCACTGCTGCAAATTCAACTTACAAACATGTTTGGGTTTGGAAGACAAAAAAAGATCAGCTACAGCAGTAAAAAAAAGGTTTGCTACTTTTGATCTTAACAAATATGATTTACTCAGAAATATTATTGCAAAATATTCAGAATGACAAAAAAAAATTGTTAAAAAATGTAACTAATTTCTCAATGAAGTTTATGTCACTCCAAATGTAGATTTTATTGTTGCAGCGACCAATCAGCCAATATTCCCCTGGCTAACTCTGGTCAAATATTTCACTTCATAACATGCATGCATTTCTTTTTAATCCTTCCTGTTGTACAGACTGTTACAATATAATAAAACACAATGTTCATTAAGGTACCATTTCATTAACGCTAACTAAAAAACTAATTAAGATCATAGAAATACATTTGATTCATTTCTATTGAAATTACTTCATTATCTGTTTGATTTTAAACAATTACAGCTATACGTTAGACAATAAAAGCATTAAGCTGAATTTCTAGGGGAAAAATGTCTGGTTAAAGTTTTTTTAAATAAAGTTTAATAAAATGTTTCAGATAAATTCAATAATATAATATTTTATTCAGCCCTTTGTGAGAAAATCTATAGAACTTGGTGGTTTGGATGTTGACTGTTAAAACAGAAGAAGGCCATTGAGGACATTTTAGTCTGACATGAAGGTATTCCTTCCTTTTCAACACAAGCATGACTGAAGCCAATCAACTCTTCCTCTTTTACTTCAGTTTAATCTGTATTTTGAAAGTAAACATGAAGACATTGGATTTATTCAGCATCCAAAGATTCAGAATAGATTCCTAAAGCTTCAGTTCCTGATAAACAGCAGTTAAAAAGGGCCTCCAACCAAGCAATCCACTGTGTACAACACTAAAGCCAAAAGCTGCCCAACATCCAGCTGTTTTCAGCTAAATGAAAATAACCTTACATCAATAATGCAGTAATTGTGGCGTGCTTAAGCCAGCAATAAGGTCCTCTAAACACTGCATTAAAACCTAATTGGCTTAGGCTTACAAGATGAGTGCTTACTGGTGCAGACAGCAACAGCAGGACAGCTAGCTAATAACGACAGGCAGGAGGAGAGCAGCTTGACATTTAAACAGGAGGAGAGAAACATTTATGGAAGTGACAAAAGTTGCTAAGCAGGATATTTCAGTGATTTGAGTTGACATTCTAGGCCATAAAAAGTGTTTCTGAAGCAGCAATAATCACCTGTCCTTCCAGCAGGTCTCTCTGCAGACCAGAGCGCTCCTGCTCTGTGCTGTTGGTCCTGCGGATGGAGAGGCTGTGAGACTTCCTCTTCTGCTTGGCCTGACGGGCGGCGCCACTGCTCCCACTCTCCACTGGCATGGCTTCCTCCGACGCTGATGTTTACCGGACTGCAGGAGCACAGAAAGGCTGACCCATTTTAGAGTCAGGGGGAAAACAGGGCAGACCGAACAGTGGTGGTAGGGTTTGACAGCTTGGCTGGCGTGAACGTGTTAAATGACTAAATGAATGAAGGTGAAAGCAGCATTAAAAAGCCTGCCACGCCTGAGAAGGAAGAATACAGTGAAAGTAAATTAATTTCTGATTTAGACACAGAAAAATTACTGTGCAAAATTATAACCTGACCAAAGCAACACAAAGACTAGAGAAATTATTTACACAAAAATATCTTCTGATGCAGTTTTTAATGTCATTTCAGACAACAACTCAAACTTTTGCTCCTCAAACCGAACTGCTGGTGCAAAAAGTGTTAGGAAAATTTTGCAATTGATTCCTTACTAAGCCTTTTATCTTTATAATTAGGCCACCTATCTCCTTTCCCCTTCTCAGTCACTAAACCTTAAACCAGATATGGACGTCTAATACACTAATAAACATAAAATTATGAATACATTTTCTCATTTTGGCTGACTATGGGCCCCTGGCTTTAACTGGGAGTCAATCAAACTCAGCATCACACCTGAGATTGTTGATTTTCAGCAAGTAAATGAAACAAGTCAAAAGGTTCAACCTCATTATCCTAAGCTGGTTTCTTGGATATAAAATAAAACTGACTATAATCCAACAACTTTCAGACCTCAGTCTAATAAGAGTTTCTTTGTCTTTTAGTAAAATAAGAGATTCCCATCGAGAATGTCTGATGTTTTTAGACCCCAGGAGTGTTTCCCAGATCTTGCTGCAACATGCCACAATAAGATAGAACCATTCTGAGGTGTACCTAATAAAATAGATTAATAATGATTAATTGATTATTGAAATAATTGTCAACTAATTTAGTAATTGATTAATCGTTAACTGGAGTATAGAGACTAAAACATGCCTGTAGCTGACAGAGCATCCCACTTAGAACAGTAAGTATACCAAAATCGTTAAAAAAAAATGGAACATTTTGCATTTAAGATAAAAAACAACTATTTCTTCTATCAATATGCTCTATCCAGAAGTCCTCAAGTGGAAACTTTTTAGTTTCACCTGGTTTAATTTAATAAAAAGTCTTCTTTAAGGAACCTTTTGCTATCCCATAATTAATCGAAAAAATTGTCGACAGATTAATCAATTTGCAAAATAGTAGTTTTTTGCAGCCCTGGTATACATATCTAGCTGTGCATTAGGACATATCTGACCTTATAGTGCTGCTTGGCTTAATTTGCACAGCATGTGTTGTGAATTAGCACCTTATAAATCAATGACTCCAAACGGTCTGGATTCTGTGCCAAAGAAAAGTTGAGGAGCTGGGTCACTCAGGACGAGCCCGCTCCGCTTGGTTGCATCCTTCTGGAGCTTTTCCAGCCACATCCCAAACAGGGATGGCCTCATAACAGAACCACAGCTCAAAGGATGGACCTTATGTCATGAAAACACAATGGGATCCCAGAGAACAAGCCAGAGAACATCAGTGGGGTGTTCCCATAATAAACATAACTATTACTTCAACACAGTTCATCTTACATCCTATAATAATCCATATAATTTAAATATATTTGCAAATTGGTTGTATATTTACAGTTTAACCAATGAAGATTCCTTACCTCTTAAAGTTAAAACTGATCATTTAAACTACATATTTTAACAGAGGATATAAACACTAACACCCCCCGCCTTATTTCAACATTTTTATAAACAAGAAACCAGCTTTTTAGTGTAAGCTGTTTATTTTTTAGCACAAATGCATAGGATAAGCTAAATGTTTATTATTTTTAACTGAAGATCGGACTACACGCCCTTTACTGTTCTGCTTTTCTACCCAACATCAGTTCATCTGGATTTGAATATGAAGGAAAGGAGAAAATAAGCTAAATCCAGCTCGGCGGATGCTCTGTATTTTGCCCTTGAAAGGACAACAAGGTGTGAGGGCAGTGACAGAAGAAAACCATCTTTTCTGCTCTCTAGTCAGTGACAGCCCAGCAGACACTGCCCCTCTCTACTCCTGTAGAATAAAACACCTTTGTCTGGTTTCCCTACAGACTAGTTGGTTCTTTTTGTGCAAATATGTAAACAGGAACACCGTGTCAACATTGTAAATGATGTAAATTACCTCGCTTTAAAACAGAAAAATAAAAATGTAAGAGCTGAAGTTAAAAACGGGAGACATTTGTCTGGACGAACAGGCTAAGTAAAGCTAACGTTATCCTCCGTTAGCTGCTAATAGGCTAACGGGAACAGACAATGAGTCAGAACACAGCAGCAAACTTACCTAAAAGTCTGCTAACGCTGCTTTTTGTTCCGGAGTGTTGTCTCTGATTTTGCTCCGTCTGTCATTGTTTTTAGTTATTTTTAAAGGTTGCTGCGCAGGCTTTTAGTTCAGGTCCGTATTGACAGCTGATGAGAACCGTTACAAGCGCGAGAGAAAAGATAGCGAAGCCACTTCCGGTCTGGAAATGTTCAAAATAAGAGCATGACGTTTAATTTTTAAAAAATATTCTGCAACATCGTGCATGTTGCAGTACGGAAAATGATTAGGGCCACTGAAAAAGGCAAAAAGAGTTAACTTTTTTTTAACATTTTAATTCAGTATGAGAAAAAAAGTCAGAATTCTGACTTTAATGATTAAAAGAAGAGCTAGTTTCTAAAGCAGACATGCCTACAGCTTGATACTAACATGTTTGTTAGCTGTCAGAATTCAGGGATTACAGTCAGAATTCTGAGATTAAAATAAGAATTCTGAGAGAAAAGTCAGAACTCTCAGATTAAAGTCAAAATTCTGAGATTAGTTAGAATTCTTAAAGTCAAAATTCTGAGATTAAAGTCAGAATTCTGGAAAAAAAATGTCAGAAGTCTCAGACTTAAGTCAGAATTCTTAGATTAAAGTCAGAATTCTGAGATTAAATTAAAAATTCTGAGATTAAAGTCAGAATTCTGACTTTTTTCTCCATATTAAACTGAAACAATTTTTAAAAATCAGTTAACTTTTTTTATTTTTTCAGTGGCCCTAATCCTCTTCTGTATAAGTCAGTACTTATATTTAGTAAGAAAATAATAACCATGCTAATTCCTAACCGTCATATTTCTGAAATCAAGCCAAACAGTCTGTCGGTCCAAGCTTAAAATACAAACTGAAAATTCATGATTCAATCATTTTAAATAAAAAAAATTTAATATAGAAGCCAAAAGTTTCAGGTCAAAACTAACTGTAACCTACATTTTAATCAGTCATTTAGTAAATCTCTCTTCAGGAAGCAGACATTAGATTCTATATATAAATTGAAATAGATAAAGTGAATCTGTATAGCAAGACAAAAATCTTGCACACAATTTAAATCTTTTAATTAGGGTTTTTTTTTCAATACTATGAGAAAGTTTACATTAAGTTTTATACCTTCGATCCAAAAAATATAAAGTGCGGACAAGTATCATTTAAGATAAGATTTAGATTAGATTAAGATTTAGGATATGCCTGAAGACATGAGAGAAGAGCTGTTGAAGCTCAAACATTAAGAGGAAAAGATCGGCAATCATAAGAAAAGTTTCATATCAAGACAGCAGCATATGCAGCCAGGTAGTGAGCCATGGGTGAGGTGTGTGGTTAGAGTAAAACTGGTTCAAATGGAGGCCGGGTTCCATTGGGAATCACTTTATAGAGGTTTTGAAATTGATGTGTGCAGAAGTATGGAATGTGGTTGAAGTTTAGTGTAATCAATCTATAGACACTTGGGTTAATGGGTTTGTTTATTTGGCTTCCTTGTTACGAAGTATTTAACAAGAGAAGACTACAGAAAACATCGACATCACTTTATCCAAAGAACAGCGAGCACGCTCTGATACACACACACACCGACACACACACAAGCTGCAAGTCATGAAAGTATTTTTAGAGAATCCATCATTACAAAACTGACACCATTATTTTATAACTGTGGGTCTCTGCTTCTCTGTCTTAAAACGACGGCATAAAAAGACATTCCTGTCTTTTCAAACTAATAATATAGTCAGTTTGTTGATTTCAGTCCAGAAATATTTGATTTTATCTGCGATCGTTGGGGCCTGACTTCCTCTTTCCGGACAGCAGGTGTTTGGGTTTGAGGTCAAACACGTGTCTGTCTGACTCTCCCTTCCTGGCCTGGCGGTTCATGTCTCTCTGGGAGTTCTTCATCATCTTTTTTGCCTTTTTCACCATCTTCAAAAAAAAAACAAAAAAACATGTTAATTTCCATCTTTAAAACACTGCGTCTGAACTACTTTGTACTCCTTAACTGAAATGCAAAACATAAGATGAATATAGTCGCACACCTTTCCATCACGTAAACCAGACTGGTCTCGCGGGGGGCGGGATGCGCTCTGGCTGCGGGTTTTGGAGGTTGGTGGCGCCCAAGCTTCACGTTTGCGTTTCCTGGTGAGGCTGCGGGAGCGTCTGGCCTGCAGAGCGTAGTGACTCTGAAAGAATAATCACCAAAAACACTCAAAATGGTTCAATTTCACTATCATGCACAATATTCTTCTAAATTAAATTCAACTGTTTTAAAAGAAAAATCTATTTTAAATTTGCATTAAAAAGCAGGAAACACTCATCAGTTCTTAGTTCAACCAAAGAGGGTTAATAATTTATCAGCAGACCTAAAGATTTCTTATAAATTGCTTTTTAAACATTTTTGTTAAAATAAAGTAACTGGAAACCTACGTCGTTCTTGTCGCTCATATCCAGACCGAGGTTACTCATCTCCGTCTCCAGCTTCTTCTTTTCAACCTTCCCAAAAATTTAAAAGTAGTATTAGATGAAATCAACATGTTTAGAGAGACATCAAGCGTCACTTCCTGGATAGTCGTTACCATGGAGATTCTCCTCTCACCTTGGTGGCGGTCCTGGGCATCCGAGGTCCATGAACGTCCTTTTCCTTTGACTCCAGAACCAAGAGCTGCTTCTTCTCCCGGATCTGCTTGGCCAGGGTGCGGATCTCCTGCATCTCCTCGTCTTCGCTCGCCTCGTCCGATTCGTACTCTCCAGCTCGCTCCTTCAGCTCCTCCTCTTTCTCCAGCTCCTCCAGTTTCTGTCAGGAAAAAAAGAGAACGTTGTAAAACTTGGACAGTCTTATTATTTCCAAGTTTGAGTCTAGAAAGGCTTTCAAAGCCAAGATCCAAAGCCTAAGAAACAACAAAACCTAAAATAATAAAACATTTTAAAAAAAGAGGTAAAAATGTGAAGTTTTGCTGTTGCTTCCAAAACATTTCTGTTTAGTGTGACTGATGCAGAATTGATGCCAAATGTTTGGACATCCCTCTAACAGATCCCCAATATATCCTACCACTTTTTTGGGGTTAGTTATCTAAGCTGACGTTTTATTCCCTCAACTAACATGGTAAAAAATAAATAAAGAAATAAAGAAAACACTGTTACAGAAGTCCCAGTAAAATAAATTAATTAATTAAAAAACAATTATCGATGAATCAAGCAAAACATTAACGGATGGCAAATGGAGGGAGCAGCAACCAATGCACTTATCATATCAAGGCATGTATGAGCTAATGCCGATATATCTGCTTAGTATTCCAAGCACAAACTCAAGGATGAAATAAAATGATTATTTAGAAAGAGGAACTTGAAAGATGACAAACTCCTGTAACGCTTTCCTGGTTGAAAACGGACAGACTCACCCTCATGATGTCTGGGTCGATGTAATCTGCAATGTTGTGGCCCTCCCACACCTCGGGAATCTTATCCTGCTTCTCATCCTCGTTCATCAGATCCCAGTATTCTATGAACAAATAATCAGCATAACATAAGAAAAATAAATAAGCAGCTTCCATACGAGATCCCAAAATGTTTAAGGAAGTTTTCTTACTCTGGAGGTCCAGAATGTAATCATCACCGAGCTCCATCTCCAGGTCTCTCTCCTGGAAGATTAAACATGAAAAAACTTTACTATTAAATCTGCTTCTTAATCCCAACGTTTACATTGTATTTCAGTTCCTCCTAATTATTTGTTATTAAAAGGCTGTGTAATAAAGATAACATTTATTTGAAACCATGTTGATAATAAAACCAAGGTTTCTTAGTGAATTATTTAAATATTTAAATTACAATTTGTAAACAATGTACATTATAAAAACCATAAAAAGCTCAGACTAAAATTCTCGCCAAGATATAAAAACCTATTTTAAAAACTCCTGCTTGCTTCAGAGTACAGTATATAAGTCTCCATTAGTGCTGCAGGTTTTAATTGATCTAAAGTTTATTAATCTTATTTATTGACTTAGGACTCATCTATAGCAAGCCATTGGGAAAAAAACATATCTTAATATATCATATTTACCATTTTTATCATGCTAGCTATATTAAATGATAACTGAAATGAAAAAAATGGTTTACACATTATTAAACTTGACATATTTGGAGGATATAATAAAACTGTAACAACTGAATAAAAGAAAACTTTAACATATTTGCAATAGGCTTTCATTTAAAGACACCGTTAAAGTCACCGTTACATGCTGTCAGACCATTTACCGCTTCATTTTAATAAAGTGGAGGGTAAATGGGATTTAATATAATCCAGTATTAACTGCTGCGTGTGACAGGCGGTTAAATAGGTGATAACATTCACCATTATTGCTACTAAACTTTGTAAATAATCCCAGACTCCACAGACTGCTGCTCCAGCATTACCACAAATACTAATGAGAACCAGCTTAAGAAGGAACAGTGCCCTCTAGTGGACGACACCAACAATACTGCACTGAAAGAAGTTATTTCTAAGCAGATGAAGTCAATTAATCAGATTGAACCAATTTGTTTCTAATAAACAATTCATTAAAAGTCATTTAGTTGTTAACGGCGTTAAAGTAAGAAGGGGGAATTGTCACACTTAAAGGCTACATACCAGTTTCCGTTTAGGAGCATCCACCTCCATTGCTTTCTTTCGGTTCAGCGCTCCCTCTGGGATGAACGGAGGTCTGTCCTGGAGATCAAACAGAGCGCAGCTTTAGCATGCAGATCTACCAAGCTAAACCCCTCCTGGTTGGCTTTAACCCACCTTTTCGTCCCTCTTGGCAGGCATGGCCAGGTGCAGCCTGTTCAGGACATCATGGACCTTCTTGCCCTTTATCTTGGTGTTGACACGGTGAGCTAGAAGTTGATCACAGGCCTGAGGAGCACAGAGGTGTTAAAAATAACTCCCGTATTCCCCTCAGAGTCAGAATGAGTCCATTACCAGATCTCACCTCGGTTTTCACCCTTATGACTCCCTCCTCTGTCAGCGTGCTCGTCTCGATGACGGGGATCCCTTCAGCCGAGAGGTCTGCAAGAATTTTCTGAGAGCAGAAAGATAAAAAAGCATCAGCCAGGCTGGACAACTCAGTGGATCCAACAGCTTAGAGGGGCGCCCCTACACCAACTCACCTGATTCTCCTCTGAGAGCTCACTG